CAGGTGTATATAATCATGTATCTCTCCCGCCTGCGTTCATGATTGTAGCCAAAGTATAAACGTAAGTAACCATTCTACAGAATTCATTACCTTTGTAACTTGTGAGCTCATTACCTTTGTACCTAGTTCAGCTATCAAAACTTTGGGGGCCCAGTCCCTGGACCCATTATGTACCTCTGTAATCTGTAAATACCTTTGTAACTTGTCATGATTGTGACCAGACTTACCTGGAGTTCATTACCTTTGTAAATTGTGAGTTCATTACCTTTGTAAATTGTGAGTTCATTACCTTTGTAAATTGTGAGTTCATTACCTCTGTAACTTGCTCAGCTATCAAAACTTTGGAGTCCAGTCCCTGGACCAATTATGTACCTCTGTAATCTTTTGACTACCGCCCACAGGATGGGTATGGGGTGCATAATAAACATATTAAACTAACTAAACTAAACTGCGTTCCAGGGAATACAGGTTCAGGAACCTCAAGCGCTCCCAGTAATTGAGGTGTTTTATCTCCGTTATGCGCGCCCTGAAGGTTCTCTGTACATTTTCTAGGTCAGCAATTTCACCTGCCTTGAAAGGTGCTGTTAGTGTGCAGCAATATTCCAGCCTAGATAGAACAAGTGACCTGAAGAGTGTCATCATGGGCTTGGCCTCCCTAGTACACACACACAGGGAAACACACAGAAACAAGGGGTCACAATTGGAAGCTGAAGATTCAGACGAGTCACAGGGATGTTAGGAAGTATTTCTTCAGTCATAGAGCCGTCAGGAAGTGGAATAGCCTAGCAAGTGACGTAGTGGAGGCAGGAACCATACATAGCTTTAAGACGAGGTATGATAAAGCTCAGGAAGCAGAGAGAGAGAGAGGACCTAGTAGCAAAGAGGCGGGGCCAGGAGCTGAGTCTCGACCCCTGCACCCACAATTAGGTGAGGGAAGAGGATGCACAACAGGTAAACAGAGCTAATTTATTAGAAGACAGGTCCCTAAAACTGGATGCAGAACTAAGAGAACTGAAGGAAACCATGAAGGAAATGAGAGGGAAATCAGTAGTAGCAGAAACAGTGAAGGAAGGAGAGGAAGCCCAGGGGTTAAGAGAAAACAATGGACAAAAGCCACTGGCATTAATGCTCAGAAGATAGGGAAGCTAAGAATTTAATAAGAGAAACAGTAAGGGTAATGGCAAAAAGAAAGAAATTTAGAAGGAGAAGCAATGGGAGGTAGAATGAAGGAGGTAAATGATCCAAGGACTCCATGAAGCTGAGGGTGGCCCAGGTAGTAAGAGAAGACTCCATACATAGCTTTAAGAGCAGATACAATAGGGCCCATGAGGCTAAGAGAGAGTTAATCTGAAGTGTGGCAGGTTTGGAGGGAGCAGGATCTGAGGTTCAACCACCAACTGGCGAGTACAAATAAATTACTACATGAATAATGAAAACAATGGATAGGGATTTGGACTGTGGTTCAAGTGAGTAGCAGGCCCAGCACTGTGACATTTGGACTATAGTATATAGCTTTTAGGGGTACAGGTACAGATGTGCCATGAAAACTGTTGGGGTGTGAGATGAGACAGTAGTGCCATGGTTGGTAGCTTATACAGCCAAGTCACAGAAGTGCTGGTTGAAAATCATCCTGATAGAAATTATTGTAATAGAATTTTTTTTAACTCAACTGCCATCTCCCACCAACTTCCCCATCCCTTCGGAGTACAGGCACTGTATTTCTCTCCTTCAGAACTTGAGTCTGGCTAACTGGTTTCCTGAATCCCTTCATCAATGCTACCTTGCTCACACTTCAACACCATGTCAAATCATAAATACCACTTGCCTCCAGCCACTAATATTTAACATGCTGTATGCAAGGATCTGGATACACTCCTCAATATAATGTAAATGTTGATATACTGGATTTTTTATTTTTTTTTTTTTTTATATTTTATTTAAAGCAATGCAAATACAAGTTGATATAAAGCACAGAACAGATTAATACACAAGAATCCAACACAGTGACACCTCAACCAGGTCGTCTAAATACATGCAAAAGATTAATATTACATAGAATAACATATTTTCTCACTGAGGTAGAGTGATCAAAAAAAAAAGGAACACTTTCACCATCATTCACACCATCACTGTCTTGCCAGAGGTGCACAGATACGACAGTTCGGATGTCCCTCCAAACGGCAAATAGCCTTACCCCTCCTCTAGTGCTAAACAGTAGGGTTTATTCAGCACCTTGGGAATAGAATATAATCAGGTTTGATCCAAAGAAGGCTATTTATATTAATGAAGAGGTTATAAAGGTCACATAGCAACTGGGGAATAGTAGGTATTCAAGTTTGATTCAAGGATCAAACCTGAGAGTATATACAAGAAAAGGGCTAAACTCACAAGGGTCATTCAGCATTACATAGCAGAGTTGGAAAATATGTAGAGGAAAAAAAAAGTTGTAGTGTCCAAGAGGACAATTGGAGAGAGGAGGGGTGGTCATAATTTAACTGCAGTGAGTGTTAAGGAACTGTAGCAAGCCTAAGTTAAGGAAGAGGACCATCAAAGAGAAAAATCTAAATTTCAAACATGATTCAGTGAGTGATACTTTTCCACTATTAAACTGTCTGAATTAAAGTATTGCATCCAGTGCTGAATGACCCTTGTGGGTTTAGTGCTTAGTTATGATTATAATAATAATAGCATTGCATTATATAGCTATTATTAAACCATTGAATCAACTTAAATAAGAAAATAATAGTTAATAATTACTACTAGTCCCTGATGCAGATTTCAATCAGTTACTGAGAAATTTACATAAACTTCAGTACATTATTATGAAAATTATATTTTCATGGAATCTGCTTCTAATTTTCAGTTGAGTAAATATTAGTACCGTAAAGCAATATCAAAGAACTACAGACCGATAGTGCTAACATCCCAAGCTGGCACTGGACAAGCACCTAAAGTCGGTTCCTGACCAGCCGGGCTGTGGCTCGTACGTTGGTTTGCGTGCAGCCAGCAGTAACAGCCTGGTTGATCAGGCTCTGATCCACCAGGAGGCCTGGTCACAGACCGGGCCGCGGGGGCGTTGACCCCCGGAACTCTCTCCAGGTAAACTCCAGGTATCATAAAAATCTTTGAAAGGGTTCCAAGAAGCAGGATTGCCACCCATCTACATACCCATCAGTTACACAACCCAGTGCAGCATGGGTTTAGAGCAGGTTGCTCCTGTCTGTCCCAACTACTGGACCACTATGACAAGGTCCTGGATGCTCTAGAAGACAAACAGAATGCAGATGTAATATACACAGACTTTGCAAAAGCCTTTGACAAGTGTGACCATAGTGTAATAGCGCACAAAATGTGTGTTAAAGGAATAACAGGAAAAGTTGGTAGATGGATCTATAATTTCCTAACAAATAGAACACAAAGAGTAGTAGTCAACAGAGTAAAGTCTGAGGCGGCTACAATGAAAAGCTCTGTTCCACAAGGCACAGTACTCACTCCCATCTTGTTCCTCATCCTATCTGACATAGACAGGGATATAAGTCACAGCGCTGTTTCTTCCTTTGCAGATGACACCTGAATTTACATGACAGTATCCTCCACTGAAAACACCACAAGACTCCAGGTGGACATCAGCCAAATCTTTAAATAGGCCGCAGAAAACAATATGAAGTTCAATGGTGAGAAATTTTAATTATGTACTCCAGTATGGAAAACGTGAGGAAATTAAAACTACATCGGAATATAAAACAAATTCCAGCTACACAATAGTGAAAAACTAATGTAAAAGACCTGAGAATGATCATCTCACCTTCGAACACCATAACGTTGTATCAATTGCATATACTAGAAAAATGACATAATGAATAATGAGAACCTTCAAAACTAGGGATGCCAAGCCCATGATGACACTCTTCAGGTTGCTTGTTCTATCTAGGATGGAATATTGCTGCACACTAACAGCACCTTTCAAGGCAAGTGAACCTGCTGACCTAGAAAATGTACAGAGAACTTTCACAGCACACATAACTTCGATAAAACACCTCGATTACTGGGAACACTTTAAGTTCCTCAACCTGTACTCTCTAGAATGCAGGTGGGAGATATACATGATTATATACACTTGGAAAATCCTCGAGGGGTTAGTACCAAACTTGCACACAAAAATCACTCCCTGTGAAAGCAAAAGACTTGGCAGATGATGTTACATCCCCCCAATGAAAAGCAGGGGTGCCACTAGCACGATAAGAGACAACACAATAAGTGTCAGAGGCCCAAGACTGTTCAACTGCCTCCCAACATACATAAGGGGAATTACCAATAGACCCCCTGGCTGTCTTTAAGCAGGCACTGGACAGGCACCTAAAGTCAGTATACCTGATCAGCCGGGCTGTGGCTCGTACATCGGGTTGCGTGCGGCCAGCAGTAACAGCCTAGATGATCAGGCCCTGGTCACAGACCGAGTCGCGGGGGTGTTGACCCCTGGAACCCTCTCCAGGTATAAAACACTATTATTATAATCAGATAATAAAGCACTAAACCGACAAGGGTCATGCAGTGCTGCAGGGCAGATAATAGTGCTGGGGCTATAAACAGCTAGGTAAAGAGGGGATCAGAGGTGAGGGGAGAAAAGGGCTGGAAGGGACACTAGGGGCTATGTGTGAAAGTTTGTGTAGTAAAGCAATTGCTGACAAAAAGTAAAGTGATTGTAAGTCAAAGGCAGGGTCGTCTGCAAGAAGGGATGACAAGGTAAGAGCGGTAGGGTGGCAGCGTCGGAGGTAAATCCTGCAAGCTAGATAGTAAACCAGACAAGGCACAAGAAAGTGAAGAACCAAAATAGGGACCTGACAAACCTCACAGTGAGGAATAGGGTGTCGTTCTAGTACTATAAAACAATATAACGTGATTGGTTCCTTTAGAATGTTCATAAATACAACCAATTATATAATGTTTCTGTTCTAGCTGTACAAGTGGTGATGTAAAACTTAGAGGATCTGGAAAAAAAATTAAATTCTAAAAATTTTATTTTAACATACAAAATAGCAGTTATGAAATCAAAAGTAAAATTATTAGAGCAGTAAAACTTACATGTCAAAATACTGAAATCAAAGAAAGCATACTACTATATGTATCTGAAAGTAAGTGCATCTTGATAATGATAACTAAAGAAGGCTGTTAAAATCTCCATTTAGAGAAGCAGCAGCCCTAAAGTAAAAACCAGCAATCACTATAATGTACCCTAAATGCCTTGTCCTTAATGAAAGCTTCCTTTAAGGGGCTGCAATGAAGCTTATGAAGTCTACATGCATCAGTAATGCCTGAAGCACACACCCACGCAACCGTATTATAAAAAGTGGCTGTCTATGTACATTATGAAACCTTATAACACTTGAAATGTAGTGTAATATACATGTCATATAATCTGCCAAGGCATATAAAAATAGTTGAATGTATGTGATCTACAGCTACACATTTTAATTTGCACATTAATCTAAATACTTGTATAAAAAAAAATTCCAGTAAAATTAAAAGCAGGGCTAAGATAAATTAATTGTGTGATGTTCAGACATCACCTGAGTGATTTTTGACATTAGAGCATGTTGATTTTCTTCTGGTAACTTCCGAATTGAAGCTGCAACAAATTTTCCAAAACATTCGGCAATGTCTGGATCTTTCTCGAGACTCCGCAATACTTTTGCAGCTCTCTCCAAGTCATCAGAACGCATTGTTCTAGTACTACTTGGCTCTGATCTCTTTTTTGCTGATACACAAGTCTCGGTGTTGTAATTCAATTGCACAGGCTGCAAAAATGTAGATTTTGTAGGTCTGGTGAATGCAGAAGAAGAGGAGGAGGCAGCACCCTCATGGCCAGGAAACACAGTAGGAGAGGGGGCAACTCCTTCAGAAGTCTCCCACTCCCCACCAACCCTCACTTCTTCCTGACTTTCTTGCTGAAGCCTTTCACTCTCATCACGAATAGCTGCACTAATATCACGGATTTCTTCTTTCATTGATGAACGATTACACCCCTCCTTGTAAGGAAAATCAGAAATTAATATTTTATTAAAACATGCATTTATGCATTAGATAATACCACTTTGCCTGGGGCAATTTTTAAAGTTACTTTCTAGCATCCATTTAAAGTATTACAGTACTGTGAATCAAATTACCAGGTCATTTAAATGCTGCTTCAAAACATCTAAATTAATGTGTAAAATATAGTGCCATTTTATTTCAGAAACAGACGAGTAGCAAAATTTTATTTACCTCAGCACAAGAAGTGTCTGGGCGAGTATGGCCGACTTGGAGTTTCAGAGAACTTAGTAAAAATCGCATCCTGTTAAAATGAACCCAGCTGGAGGTATGCGTCTTAATCCCTCTCTCACGTCTTATATCACTTGTTCGTTTTACTTCACGCAGGAAGGAGTTCCGTAAATTCCTGTATTTCTTCCATACATCTTCTGTTGAAAAAATAGTATTAAACAGAATGGTAAATTAATTACTCCAGACAATTTGTAACTGAAGTAAAAGTATGTACACCTACCATCCGACTTATGACCGAGTTTGGTTCCGAGAAACCGGTCGTAAGTTGAAATGGTTGTAAGTCGAACTTTACTACTGAATATCAACAAAACATTTTTGTAATGACTTTATTTTATTGTTTTATTTTGGTATTTCATGTTTTACTTTACTTTTTATGTTGTTAGTACTGTATTTTATACTGTCAGGTTTAGGATAAACAGTGTACAACACAAATAGTTGTTTATTTCCCAGAAATTTGGCATAAAAAACACGGTCGTAAGTCAAGTGGTCGTAAGTCGAGCAGGTCGTAAGTCGGATGGTAGGTGTATTTTATAATAATACATGTGTTTGCTGATTTTGAATCTGAAATTGGAATTAACCAAAAATGTAAGAAGTTTTAAAAGAAAAAATTAAAGCTTTAGAAAAAAAAAAATTCATACTTGACATTTCTTGATTGGCAAAGGCATATACATATACAGTGGACCCCAGGTATTCGATATTAATCCGTTCCTGAGAGCTCATCGAATACCGAAAATATCAAAAAGCGAATCAATTTTCCCCATAAGAAATAATGGAAATCAAATTAATCCGTGCAAGACACCCAAAAGTATGAAAAAAAAAAAAATTTTTACCACATGAAATACTAATTTTAATACACACAAAGTGAAGAAGACATGCACAGTTACATGACACTTACATGACACAGTTACATGACGAATACCGGGTTTTCAATCGGATACCGAGGCAAAAATTTTGCGTTAAAATGCATCGAATACCGGATTTATCGAATACCGATGCCATCGAATACCGGGGGTCCACTGTATATGCCTTCAAGGAGGAAGTAAATTAGTTTTGGGCATGGGAGGTAACCACAGTTGACTCAAAAGCAGGGTAGCTCTTCTATCCTGGATCAAGAACCTTTCAGTGGCATCAAGGAACCTCCCTGGAAGGGCTGACAATCAATATGGACAAAATTCCCTGGTCTCAATTCATTGCTATTTCTTGATTGAAACTGATCAACACTGAAAACACTTATCTGTTGTGGACACTGCTATTTATCGACATAAAAAAATTCCAGTAAAATTAATAAAAGCAGGGCTAAGATAAATTATTTGTGTGATGTTCAGACATCACCTGAGAATATTTTGAGGAACTTTTAAATGTCGACGAAGAAAGGGAGGCAGTAATTTCATGCACTGGCCAGGGAGGTATACCATCTTTTAGGAGTGAAGAAGAGCAGGATGTGAGTGTGAGGGTGGTGCGTGAGGCATTACGTAGAATGAAAGGGGGTAAAGCAGCTGGAACTGACGGGTTCATGACAGAAATGTTAAAAGCAGGGGGAGATATAGTGTTGGAGTGGTTGGTATTTTTGTTCAATAAATGTATGAAAGAGGGGAAGGTACCTAGGGATTGGCAGAGAGCATGTATAATCCCTTTATATAAAGGGAAGGGGGACAGCAACCACCCAGGGAGGTACTACCGTCCTGCCAAGTGAGTGTAAAACGAAAGCCTGTAATTGTTTTACATGATGGTAGGGTTGCTGGTGTCCTTTTTTCTGTTTCATAAACATGCAAGATTTCAGGTACGTCTTGCTGCTTCTACTTACACTTAGGTCACACTACACATACATGTACAAGCATATATATACATACCCCTCTGGGTTTTCTTCTATTTTCTTTCTAGTTTTTGTTCTTGTCTATTTCCTCTTATCTCCATGGGGAAGTGGAACAGAATTCTTCCTCCGTAAGCCATGCGTGTCGTAAGAGGCGACTAAAATGCCGGGAAAAGGGGCTAGTAACCCCTTCTCCTGTATATATTACTAAATGTAAAAGGCAAAACTTTCGTTTTTCCTTTTGGGCCACCCCACCTCAGTGGGATACGGCTGGTACGTTGAAAGAAGAAATTTACTGAGTATACTAGGAAAAGTGTACGGTAGGGTTATTACTGAAATAATTAGAAGACAGAATGTAGGATTGCGGATGAGCAAGGAGGTTTTAGAGTGGGTAGGGGATGTGTATATCATGTGTTTACCTTGAAGCATATATGTGAATAGTATTTAGATAAAGGTAGGGAAGTTTTTATTGCATTTATGGATTTAGAAAAGGCATATGATAGAGTGGATAGGGGAGCAATGTGGCAGGTGATACAAGTAGTATATGGAATTGGTGGTAAGTTACTAAATGCTGTAAAGAGTTTTTATGAGGACAGTGAGGCTCAGGTTAGGGTGTGTAGAAGAGAGGGAGACTACTTCCCGGTAAAAGTAGGTCTTAGACAGGGATGTGTAATGTCACCATGGTTGTTTAATATATTTATAGATGGGGTTGTAAAAGAAGTAAATGCTAGGGTGTTCAGGAGAGGGGTGGGATTAAATTATGGGGAATCAAATACAAAATGGGAATTGACACAGTTACTTTTTGCTGATGATACTGTGCTTATGGGAGATTCTAAAGAAAAATTGCAAAGGTAAGTAGACAAGTTTGGGAGTGTGTAAAGGTAGAAAGTTGAAAGTGAACATAGAAAAGAGTAAGGTGATGATGGCATCAAATGATTTAGATAAAGAAAAATTGGATATCAAATTGGGGAGGAGGAGTATGGAAGAAGTGAATGTTTTCAGATATTTGGGAGTTGACGTGTCAGCGAATGGATTTATGAAGGATGAGATTAATCATAGAATTGATGAAGGAAAAAAGGTGAGTGGTACATTGAGGTATATGTGGAGACAAAAAATGTTATCTATGGAGGCAAAGAAGGGAATGTATGAAAGTATAGCAGTACCAACACTCTTATATGGGTATGAAGCTTGGGTTGTAAATGCTGCAGCGAGGAGGCGGTTGGAGGCAGTGGAGATGTCCTGTCTAAGGGCAATGTGTGGTGTAAATATTATGCAGAAAATTCGGATTGTGGAAATTAGGAGAAGGTGTGGAGTTAATAAAAGTATTAGTCAGAGGGCTGAAGAGGGGTTGTTGAGGTGGTTTGGGCATTTTGAGAGAATGGAGCAAAGTAGAATGACATGGAGAGCGTATAAATCTGTAGGGGAAGGAAAGCGGGGTAGGGGTCGTCCTCGAAAAGGTTGGAGAGAGGGGGTAAAGGTGGTTTTGTGGGCGAAGGGCTTGGACTTCCAGCAAGCATGAGTGAGCATGTTAGATAGAAGTGAATGGAGACGAATGGTATTTGGGACCTGACGAGCTGTTGGGGTATGAGCAGGGTGATATTTAGTGAAGGAATTCAGGGAAACCGGTTATTTTTATATAGCCAGATTTGAGTCCTGGAAATGGGAAGTACAATGCCTACACTTTAAAGGAGGGGTTTGGGATATTGGCAGTTTGGAAGGATATGTTGTGTATCTTTATACGTATTTGCTTCTAAACTGTTGTATTCTGAACGCCTCTGCAAAAACAGTGATTATGTGTGAGGTGAAAGTATTGAATGATGATGGAAGTATTTTCTTTTTGGGGATTTTCTTTCTTTTTTTGGGGTTACCCTGCCTCGGTGGGAGATGGTCAACTTGTTGAAAAACAAAAACAACAAAATACTACTACTAATAATGATGCAATGAATGACATGGCAATAGTGGGCAGCTAAGGCGCTGGTCTGTTGATGCCTAACCACCAATACCACCAACCCATGCACTACCATCCACTGATTTACATCACTTCCTCCATCAATACTTATTGTTCTAGGTTGGGTTGGATTGGGTTAAATGTTGCAAGATAGTGGGAAGGTCCAGGTGTGTGTGTGCTGGTAGTGGTTGTTGGTGGCAAGGCTGCAACCTACTGCTGCTGGGTTGTCATTATTAACTTATTATTACCAGTATTATTATTGTGTTATGGCTAGTATGTCGCTAATTAACAATATCCACAAAAGGTGTGTGTGTTTCCTGCACAACTGCATCAATTTCGGACGATTCTGATCGAGTAAAAGTGCTGAACTTGGACCAGGGAATTTTATTAATAATAACCGGGATGACTATGGTGGTTGCTAAATATTAATAACAAAAAAAAGGCACAATACCGTGATTGGAACGATACACAAATAACCCGCACATAAAAGAGAGAAGCTTACGACGACGTTTCGGTCCGACTTGGACTATTTACAAAGTCACACATGATGGAACATTAAAATGGTATAAAATACCGACAGGTTGTTAGGTAAGACACATATGCAACAGTTAGGTATCTTTATTATGAAACGTTTCGCCTACACAGTAGGCTTCTTCAGTCAAGTACAGAAAAGTTGATAGAAGCAGAAGATACTTGAAGACGATGTAATCAGTCCATCACCCTTAAAGTTTTGAGGTGAGAGCGGCTGGATTTGAGAAGGACCTGACCTTTCAACATCTGAGTTCTTACCTCTCCTAGTGGCCTACGTCTCACCTCTTGGCGCTATAAAAAGCTCCATTCTGTCACTTCATCTCCATATTGTTTCATACTATGGAACAATGCTCTTCTCCAGACTGAGGGACTGACCACCTCAAAACTTTAAGGGTGATGGACTGATTACATCGTCTTCAAGTATCTTCTGCTTCTATCAACTTTTCTGTACTTGACTGAAGAAGCCTACTGTGTAGGCGAAACGTTTCATAATAAAGATACCTAACTGTTGCATATGTGTCTTACCTCACACATGATGGTCAGTGTGACTTTGTAAATGGTCCAAGTCGGACCGAAACGTCGTCGTAAGCTTCTCCCTTTTATGTGCGGGTTATTTGTGTATGCTAAATATTTGCTGCCAACCTGCAGTAATGTTGAGTTCTCCATGTGATGCAGACTCTCTCTTGATGATGGCAGCAATGTCCTCCACCTTCCTCCTCTTGAGCATGGGCTTGGTGAAGTGTGGGTGCTTGGGGTCCCACAGCATGCGGTTGGCCCTCACGAAATATATGAGCATCTCCTCCATCCCCACCGTCCACACCACATTAACATCTCGTTCCAAGATGTTTGCAGGTCTCACGTCCCTTCCATCAGGTCCCAGCTGTCTACCATACCCACACGGACGTTGGTTCGAGCTTGCACTCATCTTTAACTAGTTTTAAGTCTGTCGCCTTCTGTACTTAGCATGTACTTGAAGGCTTATAGCGTCGTGGAAACCCTCAATTAATTTTCTTTTTTTCTTCAGGATACATACAGACAATCTCTTAAGACAAGACTCGTGAAATCTTGTTGCTATTGTTGTTGTTGTTGGGGGTTGTTAAGGCCACTAAACCTTACGCCTTATCTAGTCCTACGAAGTCAAAGAAAATTATTGCCCGAATCGGGGTGGGAATTATAAAGAAAATAAATTCCTCCGGAAAGAGAAACGGGAAAAATATATTCCCAGGTAGGCCAGGTGAACGCCCTTGTCTAAACTATAGCAGAAACAGATTCACCAGTCGAATTATTATTATTATAATCAAGGGGGAAGCGCTAAACCCGGAGGATTATACAGCGCCTGGGGGGGGGGGGGATGTGGAAGGCATTCAGGCTTAATTCGGGGAACTGGAGCACAGATCCAATTCCCTAAATCAAGAGCCCCTCACCAACATCAAGGAACCTTCCTTGAGGGGACCAGATTATTATTATTATAATCAAAAAGAAGCGCTAAGCCACAAGGGCTATACAGCTGAGGGGACCAGAGTCGAAGCATCATAAGGCTGAGGTAGGTAACGGGTGTTAGCTTGTAAATAAAGTTGGTTTAGCGCTTCTTTTTTATTACAATAATAATAATAATAATAATTGTAAATAAAGTTAGAAACCCTTACCCTAACCCTGTCAACCCATGTAAAAAAAAAAAAAACAGGCCTAGGAGCTGTTAATTCGCCCAGACCAATTGCCAACATAACATTCAACCTTCAGTGTCAGTATTTCCACCATATCAACCTGCTTGTGTTCAGTACCTTGTGTTCGCGTTAGGAAATACATAGGCTTTAAACGGTGAGTACTAGGGGCTTAGATATCCAACAGGCTTGTGTAAGCGTTAGATGGGCTTGGTGGCCCATGGCCTAGTAGGCAACGCTCTCGCTTCACACACACACAGTGTCCGTGGTCCGATCCCTGGCAAGGGTGGAAACATTGGGTGTGTTTCCTTACACTTGTCCCCTTACACTTGTTCACCTAGCAAGTAGGTACCTGGGTGAATATTAAAATGGTATACAATACCGATAGGTTGGTAAGTAAGACATGTGCAACAGTTAGGCATCTTGATTATGAAACGTTTCGCCTACACAGTAGGATTCTTCAGTCGAGTACTATATCATGGAGCGCTAAACCCGTAGGACTATACATAAGAACGAAGGAATACTGCAGCAGGCCTACTGGCCCATGCGAGGCAGGTCCAAGTCTCCTACCGGCTTAAGCCAATGCACCCAACCTAGTCAGGTCAGGTCACCTTGACTTAAGGGAGGAACACGGCAACTGTCCTGGTAGCACAAGCTAATCAGGTCCAACTCAGACCCACCCACACCCACTCATGTATTTATCCAACCTGTTTTTAAAGCTACACAACGTTCTGGCCTCTATAACTGTACTTGGGAGTTTGTTCCACTCATCCACAACTCTATTACCAAACCAGTACTTTCCTATATCCTTCCTGAATCTGAATTTTTCTAACTTAAAACCATTGCTGCGAGTCCTGTCTAGGCTAGATATTTTCAGCACACTATTTACATCCCCTTTATTTATTCCTGTCTTCCATTTATACACCCCAATCATATCCCCCCTAATTCTACGTCTTTCTAGAGAGTGCAGATTCAGGGTCCTCGGTCTATCCTCATAGGGAAGGTTTCTGATACATGGGATCAACTTTGTCATCCTCCTTTGTACATTTTCCAGAGCATTTATATCCATTCTGTAATACGGTGACCAAAACTGTGCAGCATAATCTAAATGAGGCCTAACCAAGGATGTATCGAGTTGAAGAACAACCTGAGGACTCCTATTATTTATGCTTCTTGATATAAAGCCAAGGATTCTATTAGCTTTATTGCGAACACTTATGCACTGTTGTCTTGGTTTCAGATTACTGCTAACCAGAACTCCTAAATCTTTTTCGCAATCCGTAATATTAAGATCTACATTATTTAGTTTATATGTGGCATGGTTATTGTCCTGTCCAACATTTAGAACTTTGCATTTGTCTATATTAAACTGCATCTGCCACCTCTCCGACCACTGCATCAGTCTACTCAAATCTTCCTGGAGTGCTCTAATGTCCTCGTCAGAATGAATTCGACGGCCTATTTTGGTGTCATCGGCAAACTTGCTGATGTCGCTCTTTATGCCCTCATCTATGTCGTTTATGTAGATTGTGAACAGCAGGGGGCCCAACACTGACCCCTGTGGAACACCACTCGTGACGCTTCCCCACTCTGATTTCTCCCCATTTATGCAAACTCTCTGCTGCCTATTTGTCAACCATGCCTCTATCCAGGAAAAAATTTCTCCTCCTATTCCATGTGCCTTAATTTTCCTCAATACAGTGTACGTGGAGGGGGGGGAATGGAAGGTATTTAGGGAACTGGAGAACAGATCCAATTCCCTAGATCAAGAGCCTCTCACCAGCGTAGTCGGGTACAAAAAAAGTTTACAGAAGCAGTAGGGATGTGAAGACGATGTAATCAGTCCATCACCCTTGAAGACGTAAGTTTTGAGGTACCCGGGTGTTAGTCGTTTAGTGTGGGTCGCATCCTGGGGGATAAGATTGAGGACCCCAATGGAAATAAGACTGTCCCTCAATGACGCACTGACTTTTGGGTTATCTTGGTTGGCTAACCCTCCGGGGTTAAAAATTCAAACAAAATCTTATTAACATTATCTTACTGAGTGGAGGCAGGTGGTTTCTGTGATGTGGTGTAGCATTTATGAAAGGAATCAGGGAAATCGGTGAGCCAAACTTGTGTCCTGGCAGTGGGAAGTACAGTGCCAGCACTCAGAAGGAAGGGTGGGAGTGAACATCAAAATGGTATACAATACCGACAGGTTGTTAGGTAAGACACATATGCAACAGTTAGACAACTATGGAACTGAACTTCTCCAGGCCGAGGGACTGACAACCTCAAATTCTACGACTTTAAGGGTGATGGACTGATTACATCGTCTTCACATCTCTACTGTTCCTGCCTACTTTCTGTATTCGACTGAAGAAGCCTACTGTGTAGGCGAAACGTTTCGGAATAAAGTTGTCTAACTGTTGCATATGTGTCTTACCTAACAACGAAGGGTGGGAGTGTTGCAGTTCGTAGTCTCATCTGAGATGCGGTACTGGCACGCCTCTGGGAAGAATGTGATTGACTGAATGATGGAAGTGTTTCCTCTTTTCATGATCACTGCCTCAGTGGGACAGCCATGAATATCAACTTTAAATTTTATCTCTATTATATACTGACATGAAGAATTAGACATGTGCAGCACCTGGGTATCTTTATTGAAATGATACTCAATGTTGGGTCTAATTCCTCATTTATCTTATTCAATGGTATATACAACTTCATTATAAATTAAATATTTTTCTTGAATATTTAAGTTGTGTTTGCCCTGGTCACGAAGGTATTGCTAAATATAGCTCTAAGTGCTAAACACGTATGAATATTACTGTTCTTATTATATTCTTTCTCTAGGTGTCTTGATGCGAGCAAGAGGCTCTTGATCCGAAGAACTGGACCTCTTCTCCCCTACCTTGGGTCATACCTCATTGCCTCATTTCTCAAGGGCTACAGGACCCCAGTGGGTTTAAAATCCCTCCCCCACCCATGAATGGTCTTTCTACTTCAGCAGTATGACTCATACGGGTTTAGCCCTTATTTTTTTTATGTAATAAAAAGTGTTATATTCCCTCTAGTGGGGGATGGAGTGACCTTATGCTGATGGTGTGCTCCTAATTCAAGGAATTAGTTACCCCAATTGAAATGTCACTTTTTTTTTTGGGGGAGGGGTTATCCTTCATAATTTACACGTTACTTATGTACGATAATTTGTGTAACTGTATTTATGTGTGCCTATACGTAAATAAACTTACCTTGGATCAAACCTAATTATCTCCCATTCAATTGCTGTATGACCCCCTACAGGTTTAGTGCTTCCCCCTAAATTTATTGTTTTTATTATTACAATTATCAGGATCATACAGCACCTAGGAGAATGGAAGGCATTCAGACTCTCTTCAAGGAATTGTAGCACGGATCAAATACCTTAGATCAAGAGCCCCTCACCAGCGTCAAGGAACCTCCCTTGAGGAGTCCCAAGGATATAACGCCCTATTATAAACCTAATATAGCGCTGTATAGCCCTTGTGGTTTAGCGCTTCTTTTTTATTATAATAATAATAATATAAACTTAATAATGTATTTTATCTCTATTACGTCTCTCCGAATCATAAAAAGGCTAAATAATGGTTCAAGTCAGACTGAATAGTAATCATAAGTTTCAGTCTCCTAAGTGTGGGTTATATGTGCATAGATTATATAATAATATATCTTTATTTCTACAAGTACATGTACAAGGTATACAAGCTTAGCTGATATCAATGATGTACTACTATATAGAAAGACACCTCATAATGTAGAGCATTTCGGGCAAGTTAGGTCAGTTTTGTCCCTGGATGTGACTAACACTCAGGTACCCATTATTACTGATGGGTGAACATGAACAACTGGTGTAAGGAAACATGCCCAATGTTTCCACCCCCTTGGCTGGGAATCGAACCTGGACCCTCACCGTGTGAAGCGAGAGCTTTGCCACCAGGCCACAGGGCACCTTATGATCTTTGTCAAATTCTTTAGATTGACCCACAGCAGTATGTACTGCTAAGTGAACAGTGGTAGTAGGTGTGTGGAAATTTGCCTGTAACATAGGCTCCTGATTCTAGGAACAGGAGCTACCTTCCCCATGAATCAAACCTCTTTACCTCCTATTCCCAAGGTGATAAATTAGACATGTGCAACTCTTGGGTATCTTTATTAAGGAAACGTTTCGCCACACAGTGGCTTCAATTCTATTCAAGATTGATGGACTGACCACATCGATTCAAGGTTGAGGGACTGATTACCTCATTCTCCTCCTGTTCTTCAAGTTTCTCCTGTGTATGGACTGATGAAGCCACTGTGTGGCAAAACATTTCCTTTATAAAGATACCCAAGTGTTGCACATGTGTCTAATTTATCAACGTGTCGGTTCTGTGAACCATTCATCTATATTCCCAAGGTGTAGTACAGTACTACATGAGCCTTATGAGATTTATTGTTATATTCATGGATTAGCACTAAACCCATAGGAGTTATACAGCATCTGAGGAATAAGAGGTAATCAGATTTGATCCAAGGAAAATTAAGGTAATTCCAATTCGTTGGATGAAGAGTACTTC